TTTGTAGAGGAAAAGAACTACATTTTGTAAATAAGCAGTGAGTCATTAGCCTAATGTTGAAAAGAGTAATTTGGCTGCTTTTAGCTGTGACAGTGACACGGGTTCCCACCCTGAGCCTCCCATTGTTTCGGTCTGGCTTGACAGCTGGAATTACTGTGCATTTGCTGCTGTGGGCTCAGACTGTGTCTCTGTTCTCCTTGTGTTGGAAACTTTGTCACATGAGCTGGGACTCGGGAAGCCAGGTGAACTTGCCAGGCCTCCCAGGCTGCTGGGGACCCTTTGGAAATTCTGTAGAGGAGCTGGTTTTCAGTGGATCGCAGTGCCATGTTTTCACGTCACCGAAGGGCCCACAAATGCTGGGGGCGTGGGGCAGGGCATGGTTCCTACGCATTCTTGAGAAATGGGCGACATGACCATTGTGAAGACTGCGATGAAAACAGCAGAGGAGGCAGCAGGACTGTGTGAGAGGCAGGGGAGTGCCCCGGGTGATGAGCCTGTGTGCTCTGCCCCCACAGCCGCTGTGGAGGAGCTGGCAGGGAGCACACGGAGTAACACAGCGGCCACTGTCCGGGAGCCTTGACCCCAGAGGCCGGCTCACTGCTCACTGCTCCCCCATCAGTCGACTGAATTCAAATGCCCATTAGCTTTGCTGGCGCCTCCCCAGCCTGACGGCCCTGCTCATGGCCACTGCTGGGCCCAGCAGGAATCTGCCTTCTCCAGGAAGCAGCTCCTGACCTCTGGGTCTTGCTCTAAGCACCTATTGCTTCTAGAGTCGAGCCCTTGAGTCTTCTCAGGGGACTCCATGGCTCTGAAGTTAGCCTCCACATCCAGTCATCGTGCAATCAACAGGCCTGTGCTGAGCGCATGTCATCTGGCCTGGTGCCTGCTCCCAAGGACTTGTGCCCAGCAGCAGAGACCCAGGAGCAGGTCTGGGCACACAGACTACACCATCAGTGCATCTGCAGGAGCCCCTGGTGCCAAGGGAGCCAGGGGAGGGCCCCAGCCTGGGGAGAGTAGGGAGAGTTCAGGGGCAGCCGAGACCAGCAACCCCTGAGCCAAGTTTTGAAAGCAGTGTAGGACTTAATGTCAGGTCTGTTCCAGCTAGACCAGCCAAGTTCCTGAAGGCCCACTGTGTGCAGGCACCTGCTTGGTCCTAGAAACACAAGCAGAAGTGAAAACCTGTCAGCATCATGTGTGGGGCAGAAGGGCACATGGAGAAAAGGGAGTGAAGACTCTGTGCTGAAGTTAAAATTGTAGCACACACGCATACCTAGACTCACATGTGCCCAACGGACAGGATTAGCCATCTGGGAAGAGTCCGGTTATGTGTTCATGTAGGATGTCAGAGGAGGGAGTACTCAGTGCCCCCGGCATGCAGATCTCTCAGGGCCTGTGTGTAAAATGGGATCAACGGAATGACAGCTTGGGGGCAAGTTCTATGAAAAGAAGGAGCAGTCCACAGGAAGCATGGGACAGAGAAGTCCCCACAGAGTCAGAAGCCAACCTGCTTGGGGAAAGCAGCCTTATAGTGTGACAGCCTCACTGCTAAGAGTGCCCAAGGAGTGAGGAGCAAGGACCCAGGGCCTGGGAGGCCTCTCGGACCCTCAGGCTCTGTGTCAGTCTCTCGTCCCTGCTGCTGTGGAACCACCGTGCCGTCCGCACTCTTGTGGATGGGCTTTCTTCATGCATAGGGGCCAGGGCCACCCACTGTTCTTCGGAGATCCCGACAGCTCCACAGAAGAAAGGAAAGGGATTCTCCCTTGGCCATAAGAATTTAGGAAGAGAGGCATGACTTCTGATGATGGCCAAGTCGCTCCCAGTGGAGCAGCCCTCCCACAGGGATCAACTATAAACTGTGGAAAATGTATAAACAGACAGCTACTCGGAGGCACTGGGAAGCGACCAGAGCAGCAGAAACTGGAGGTCAGCTGACACCTGGAAGAAAGGAATGGTGAACTCTCATTCTATAGCTCCTTGCCTGAAGGCAGCCTCACTCGATGCTGTGTGGACAGAAACTCTGCCAGGAATGTGCAATCCTACTGGCTTGAATAACTGGAGGACAGAGTTCTGGGCAACCAGAGAATCTGGAAAGGGAAGGGAGAAATTCCAGAAAGAAGAGAGCCAGGAAACGAGGCCAAGTTCTAGGCATGAACTCTGCTCAGATCTTGGCCGACCCCTAACTATGTATGAATGGGGCAGACTTCAGACAACCCAGAAGCCAACGCAAAAAGGACTGGCCTGAGATTTCAGTGTTTTCCCACTGCAAGGAGACAGAGTTTGAAGTTCGATTTTAGCTGAACTAAGTGCCCCTTTAAAAAAAATTAGTACTCCTTAGCCAGGCATGGTGGGCATACAGCTGTAGGCCCAGCCACTCAGAAGACTGAGGCAGAAGGATTGCTTGAGCCCAGGAGTTGAAGGCTGCAGTGAGTTATGATCACACCATTGCACTCCAACCTGGGTACAAACAATACACTGGTTCAAAAAAAACATAGCACTCCTCAGAAGAACATAACAGGGTCCAAAACTCTATACATATCTTACATGATGTCCAGCATGCAACCCCAAATTCCTAAACAGGAAGAAACAGAATAACTTGACCATACTCAAGAAAAGGCAATCATGGAAGCAGATCCTGAGATGACTCAGATGTTAGAATTAACAGACAAGGATTTTAAAGTTGCTATTAATAACTAAGCTCAAGGAAGTAAAAGAAAATATGCTCACAATAAATGAAAAAAGGAAAACTTCAACAAATAAAATTCTGAAATGGAAATTATAGAACTGAAAACTGCATACCCCAAATAAAAAATTTGGCCAGGTGTGGTGGCTTATGCATGTAATCCCAATACTTTGGGAGGCCAAGGTGGACAGTTCACAATATCAGGAGTTCAAGACCAGCCTGACCAACATGGTGAAATCTTGTCTCTTCTAAAAA